ATATGATAAAATAAGATAACAAAATATATAAACATATAAATAAATAATTAATAAATTTAAAAATAAAATAGAGATAATACCATCTAATAAGGGTCTATGGTATATCTACAAAGGGGGTTTTTGTGATACCCAAAAAATGATATTTGTAAAAAATTGACACTCCGAATCGTAGTATACTTCACAGAGGAGTTTTTTGTGATGCCTAAAATGGCATATACGAAAAATTCTATTTATCGCCTGCAAGTCTTTAGGTGATCCAAAGCTCATGGGCTTTGTCCTACTCAGGATCTTGAATAACCCCTTTTTGTCTCATTCGATAGTTCAAAGAATGAAATCGACCAGAATATTTTGGGCAATATCCCGTAATAGATATAGTAGGTTTTTTACAGACGCCGCAAGGGAATTTCTCTATATTTTTCTCATATAAATGCCAATATCTGTAACAACCCGTAGGTCGCTAGCATTTTTTTTCGCAAATAAATCTATCTTTTTTAATATGAGAGCAGATAGCACGATCCATGAAAGTATGTTAGGATATATTATATAATATACGTAAGATTCAAATATAAATACCGATTTAAATATTTCGAATATATTGTGAGATAAAATATCTTTACATACTAATATCACATATACTATATACCACACCAATACTACACAAAAATATATAAATTATATACCCGAGAGCCGAAATATAATAAAGAAACAATTATCGCTAAAGAATTATCCAAACTAGCTGGGCGTTTGAGGAAACTAAAAATATATAACCCAAAAACGAATCACATGATTGCTATCGATGGACCAACATATAATAAATTAGTATGTGATAGATATATGTATTGGGAAGAAGAAGGACTCTTAATTCTACCATCACTATTCGAGGAATATATTAACGGAGCAAGCACAAGGTGCTAAAAAATAAAACATATTATCATAAAACTTGATTATAGTCAAGTCACCACAACTCGAAGCTATAAATTTTTTCGTTATATTCTATGTATTGATAAATTTCAAATTGACAGATTCGACCTGATCAATTTTTATCAAATATCGAGTGGTGATACCTGGATTTAAATATCTTATTTTAATATATAATTCAATTTTCTTGATAGTTGCACAGGTAATATTACAATTGGAAATACCGAGTTGCTGGATCTTCAGACAAGAATGAATAATATTCCAAATCACTATTTCAGAAATTCCTTTACAGTTAGAAATATTCAGATATTCTAATTTATAACATGAATTTGCAATTGCATAGAGACCTTTATCAGTTATTAATCTACCATAATACCCTTTTGCCAAGTTGAGATACT